TTTAGTCTGAAGTCTTTCTTTGGCCCCTCAACAACATATGAAGAACAGACAAAAACAGAAATTATTTTGATCAAATTAGCGTGCAATAAGTCAAAAATATATGTTGGTGTAGTCTTCTACTGGCTGTTATCAGGTATATCTGAATGTGTACAACAGGGGTTTGAGCAAAGCTTTTACCACTGAATGATGCAGAAAGTCTCAGATCCAAAAGAAACCGGATCAGATATGACACATTTGGCTTTATAGGGTTAAGAATTTTAAAAAAGAAAAGGAAGATTTTTTTTAAAGCTATATTAATAGCTATAAGTGGTAAATTGATAAGCAATGCAAATGAAAATAAATGAGAGAAATAAAATAAAAAGAGAGGGATATAAAATATATTTAGGAAAAATAAATAAATAGAAATCATTTTTTTAAAAAGGAAAGGAAGAATATTTTATTTAAAAAAGAATAGGAAAAAATCAAAATAATAAAAACTTGACTGCATTAGTGTGTTCATGGCACGTTTAGATCTGTTTTGTCTTTTTTGAAGCGTCAGGCTTGAATTTATTTGCTCCATACCATACATTTCCCAAACATTTCTGTCCACATGTTGTTTGTTTGGGGCTTCAGCCATTTAACTCTGACACAAACTGGAGCTTCCTGATGTGAGAACTCTCCCGTTTTCAGCCTTCGGTTCCTCCTGGTTCTGTTTTGGTTTCTGGGCCTCTGATGAGTTTCTGAGTTTCTGTGTGAGCTCCGTGTTTGCAGACGGAGGCGTAAACACTCGTTTGTCCGGTTTATCTGCATTAAGGTGGTCGTTTCCAGCTAACACAGATAATGTAATCAGCCAATTAGAGCGCAGGCAGATGGGCGGACGCCTCATTTCCTGCTTCTGTCAGCCATCAGAAAGAAAACGGCTCCATTAGAGTCTGGAAAAGGACTGGAACTCAGATCTCAGAGAGAATCAGCTGCATTTGTTGTTTTTCCTGCAGTTTTGGCTGATTTTTACGGTTAGATTTCTGTTTTACATCATTAATACTTCTCTCTGTCAGCAGAACCTCTATTATGACGCCTAAAAATATTTTTTTATTTAAAATATAAAGATAAAATAAAATAATATAAATAAAATTAAAATATAAAATAAAAATAAGTAAGCTAAATTAGTTTATGATGTCAAAATCATAGAAAAAAATATAAAAATAAAATAATATAAATAAAATTAAAATGTCAAATAAAAATAACTAGTGTAAGTTGGTTTAGAGTTCCTGTGTAAAGTCAGAGTGAGTTAGGGCTGGTCCTGTATCTCAGTCTCCACCTCTACCTCCATTCTTCAGTCTCTGAGCTAAAGGGACAATAAAAACCCTTTTTATTGATTATTTCTTTATCATTTATTTCTTTTTCCATCTCTCTTCTAGAAGTTTTCTTGCTATGTGTAAGTATCTGCAGTATTTATTAAGGAGTTATCGTAGGTTTTTGGAACCAATTCTAGGAATTACAGAGTATTCTGATGGAAGATTTGAACCAAAACACCAATATTTAACACAGAAGTCGCTCCTGGAACCAGTTAGACTGTTATAGAGGTTCTGCTGTATTTATTTTTTAGTGAACATTTTATTTGACATTTTATTTTCTTGGAAACATGCAAAGAAACAATTTAAC